TTGGTAATTTGAATGAAAAAAAATTCCATGCCCACAGACTTGAAGTATCAATATCATTAAAATGGCCATACTGCCCAAAGTAATTTACAGATTCATCATTAACATATTATCGTTAACTATAGTCACCCTACATCCTACGTGGTATAGAACACTAGATCTTATTCCACCTATCTAGCTGTAATTTTGTATTCTTTAAAAAAAATCTCTCTCCATCTCTCCTTTACCCCTACCCTTCTCATCCTCTAGTATGCTCTGTTCTACTTTTTACTCCTTTGAGATCAATGTTTTTAAGCTTCCACATATGAGTGAAAATATATGGTGTTTAACTTTCTGTTCCTGGCTTATTTCACTTAACATAATGTCCTCCAGTTCCATTCAAGTTACCACAAATGACAGGATTTTATTTTTTTTAATTTTTATTTTATTGGTTGTTTTATTAAGAAAGTTCATTCAATTTTATCAAATGCCTTTTCAGGGTCTATAGAGGTGACCATGTGATTTTTATCCTTAAATACATCAATATGATAATATGTATTATATATTATGCATAGTACTAATATTGAACTGTTCTTGCATTTCTGTCATGGTGAATTATATTCCTTTAGTGTGCTGATGGATTATTTTGGCTAATACTGTATTTAGAATTTTTCATTGATATTCATAAGTGAGATTGGTCTGTGATTTCTTATTTGCCACCCTTGTAATCCTAGAAGCTACTGGTATAAATACTTTTTGTGCATCATAAAAGTAATATGGAAAATTTTCTTTCTTTTTCTCTGCTCTGGAAGTGTTTAAGTAACAGTGAAATTGTCTGCTTTTAAAGAGTTTGGTAGAATTCCTCTGGAAATCATCTGAACTTGGTACTTTTTTAAAAATGTAAAAGTTTTGCTTGCATTTTGAAGCATTATATTGTATTTATCAAACTTAATCTTGTTAGAATCATCTTCTCTGGGCCAAGTAAATTTTGTTTTCCTAGAAAATTATCAATTTCAGACAGATTTACAAATGTATTTTCTGGAATTGAACAGGTAGTCTGTTACTATTGCTTAATTTCATCTTTCTATGGTTAATTCTTGCATTTCCTTTTGTTTCAATATTTGTGTACTTGTATTACTCCCCATTTTTGATTAGGTTAGATAGTGACTTATTTATTTTATTGTTTACTTTTTACTTCTAATTTGTTCCACTGTTTTCTTTGTTCTAACTAATTGAAATCTACTTTTATCTTTATCCTTTTTTTGTTTGTTTCGTTTGGTTTGTAACTCTTATTCCAATTTTCCTCTGAGCATAGTTTTATCTTTCATGGTTTCTAAGATGTAGTATTTCCCTATCGCTAGTCTTTAGAAATTTAGCAAATTTTTTTTTGTAATCCTTTTGATCCACCAGTTGTTCAAAAGATTTTTTTTTAATTCCTAAACCTAACTGTCTTCTAGTTTTCTGAAAATTTCCATTACATTTTCACTTCGTTAAAGTGATACAATGATTAAAGAATTTCAACTACATTATTTTTACTTTTTGGACTTTATTGAGCTTTTCTGTAGTCAAATATATCATCTATTTTATAAACTTTCACAGGCATTTGAAGAGAAGATACATTTTTTTTCAGGATAAAAAATTTGACTTATTAATTACTTTATTTTTCTATAAATCTACTTAGTTTTTTCCATTTGGGCTTTCATAAATCAAGACGTGAATTAGAGTGTCCTACTACTAGTGTGTTTTTGTGTGTTTCTTCTTGTGTGTTCAATAATTTCTGCTTTATATATGTGGCTGTCATATCATTTGCTATGTAGTCATAACTGTGCCTATCTTTATTGAGAATTGTACTCATTATAAAATTCTATCTCTTATTTAATTCGATGCTTTTTAGCCTAAATTCCTCCTTTTCTTCATTAAGATTGTGACCTCTGATTGAATTTTCTCTGCTTTGCCTAATATACCCATGGCTGTATTTTGATTTTCAACCTTTTACCATCACTTTGTTTTAGGTGTGTTTTCACAGAGAGTTATAATTTGCATTTTTATTCCAGTTTGAAAAAGAACTTCCTTAATAGATGAATTAAGCCCATTTATACTTATTAATATAATAGATTAGTTTTCTCTTAGGTTTGTCTTAATGCTTTATATTATTATTTTTATGATTTTTAAAGGAAGTCTTTTGCTAAGTAATTTGCTTTTATTTTCACGTATTTATGATACCTAAGAAAGTTGCTACTTTTGTTTTAGCAGTTGCCTTTATTTAATAGCGTTAGACTTTTTATTTCTTTTGACAATACTTGTTTCCTAAGTGAGTAAAGATAAAGGTGAAATTAGTGTACACAATCTTTCTCACTCTATTTCATCTATCACCCAATTATATTCGATATTGTGATTTTTCTTGGTTTTTTGGTGTTTCCCTAACACAGATATAGATTTTTTTATTGCTTGATTTCTTAGATTTTAGTTATATCCTTCACGCCCAGATGTTAGAGATGAGGTAATTAGAGAAAACCCTCTAACTCATCATTTTTTAATCTTTTCCTTCCCAGATTAGAGACATGCAAAAGTCTAAAATATTTTTCTAATTAAAAACATGAGGTCATACAACATAGCAAAATGGCTACTATTTCAAAGCTTTCAACTGAATGTTTCAGAAACAACTTAATACAAGTATTTATTTTTAAATAGTTCTATTCTTACACTGCTTGGCCTTTCACATCATTAACATTTTAATTGAAAATCTGAGTACCATACTTCAACCCATGGATAATTGATCTGGGCTCTGCCAGAGGAAGTAGCTAGACTATTAACTAGTGAGACCCTGCCATGTAGACAGCATGGCCTCAAGTTCTTTTTTAAATTAACATCTCAAATGGGAGGTAGTGATATGAGGTAATGATTGAAAGCTTCTGTTTGCAATCATTTGTAATTATTAATGGTGCTTAATCATGCTCATTAACTCATCCTCTTAACCCTGACAATTGCTGGGTTTGATCATGTTCTACTCCATTACCTATGTTATTATTTCCATACCTTGACAAATATCTATCTTCTGTGTGTCAAAGCTATGTAGTAGATGTGAGTAGATAATTTTATTTTATTTTTTGTGGAGGTATTATTTGGTATGTGGGCTATATTAATTTTGGGAGAATATATAGGATCATGTCACACTTAAATTAAAATCCAGCAACTTTTTTGGTTACTGCTTTGTTGAGTCTGGTATCCATAATATTTACCGTAATAATTTGTAGATTTTTTTATTCCAAGTGACAACGTTAAGATAATTTTAGTGGTTGGGAGGCCTTGAATTTCTTGTGCCAGGACATTTACATATGAAGTAATCAGTTTGGGTGGAATAGCATCATTTTGATAAGGACAAGAGAGAAAAAACCAAAATCGAAAATTATTTTACAAATGCCACGCTACCTTGATAGAGAATATCAAGGTGTCCATCATAATTGTTCTTTTTGTCATCAATAATTTATTCAGTAATTATTTATTGAACAACTATAGTAGCCCAGACACTGTACATGACCCCAGGCATACAATGGCGAACCATATGGACATGGATTATCCCCAGTGGATTTCTAGTCTACAAATAAACACACAAGCGAGAATTATCATGGCAATAAGTGTTTTGAAGAAGTAACATTCTAGGAGTGTATAGCAAAGACGATATTCTGCTGGAATGCCATGATGAGAGTTTTGATGTTTATCCAAAGGCCAAGACCAGCTACATAATTGGTGGGGCCCAGTGCAAAATAAAAATGTGGGGATGGTTTTTCAAAACTTATTAAGAATTTCAAGACAGTGGCAGCAGAGTATTAAACCAAGTGCAAGAACTTTTTCAGCACCCTGCCCTGTGTGACCGTGCAGGTCACAAGTGGATACAGCTGGCCTTGCCTAAGGGCAATCAGAAGCCAAAGAGAAGGTTTAAGTAGAGAAGAGATGATTGAATTGGCATTTGAACAAGATAAATTCCTTAAATTCCTCAATTGTTCTCCCAAGGCATATTTAGTTAGTGAGTAAAGGCAAAGAGTATTAGTATTTCCCAGATTTAGAGTTAAATATCGCTATTATTTTTCTAAGTCATGTGCCTAGATACATAGGTATCTGGAATCCGCCCTCTTAATTAACTGGCAGAGGTAGTAAAATGGTGAAATCTGAGTTTTTTGCTTAATGTTTTCCTAGGTAAACCAACATTTTAATATACTCGAATGATTTCACCATGTAATCATTTAACAACATACACTTATTTTCAACAGACAGGAATAGTGCTTAAAATAAGTATTGTGCTTCTTGCTTAGAACCAGCTAATGTTCTGTGACAAAAGAATTAAGAATTCAAAAACGTGAGAAAGAAAATAATTTGATTAGCACAAGAAGGAATAACTTCCAGCTAATCCTTGCTTGTTGTAATAGTTTGCATATTGTGCTGGGAAATATGAGTTCTGTTGTTTTAAGATAATACATTGTATTTAATATGTAGCCTGTAATCTAAATGTATTGAGAATCAAATCTTTTGTCACTCATCACCGCTGAAACAAATCTTGAATATTCTATAATGTAAGAAATCAAAAAAAAGTTCTCAACCATTTTAGTTTTTGCACTAATAATGCTAAATTTTTAATGTGTGCAAATGTATTTCAAAATACCTTTCAAAGAAATAATATTATAATCAAAATAAAAAAGATTTGACAGTAGTCTGCAGTTTAATTTCTTGAAACACAGAGAAACAATTTTCTTGAGAGACTTTAGTGACAGAATAGAGTCAACCTTTCATCAAAGCCCCACACCTCTAGAATTCTACAATTTTTTAGGAGAATTCTACAATCTCATGTTTTATTTTTTCAAAATCTGGATTATTCAAGTTTATGCTATGGAAATGGTTACAAAAGAGTATTAAAGGCTTACTCTTAAAAAGAGATTTTAATTGAAAAATTGAAAAAAAATAGTTGTGATATCTTTTTGTCCGATTATATTGAAAATCACTGCACACAATATAATGACAAAGTTACTCACCTAGGTACACAAGTGATGATTCTTCAACTGTTTGTTGCACAGCCTCAGAGAGGAAAAAGCTAAGTACACAATCACTCTGGAAAACAAAACGAAACATAATATTTCTTCATTTCTTATATTTGTTACTCCTATTCATTATTACATACAATTGCTATGTATATCATTTTAAAATAGATACCTGTTGTAGATTCCACAAACAGAAAGTATATTAGAAAGGTTTATTAGGTCAATGCTATCATTTTACCATTAAGTTAAACTAAACTTTTGTGTGATTGGAGGTCAGATTACTTTCTGTTTCTTCAAGAGGTTCAAGTGTGCTCTGCTCTTGGACCTCATCATAAATGTCCACATTCTTGAATTTTACAAATATGCATGCATTTCACATCTCAATTTTTGAAAACAAGGGTATCCTTGGATGGCCTTTCTGAGAAAAATTACTCTGAGTGGGACACAGATGCCCACTTAGTGAGTAACAATTAGTGAGTAACAATACTCAAGGTTCAATTCTAGGAATACTCGCTGAGTACTGACTACACTCAGAGCACTAAGGAATGTCAGGGGATATTTCAAGACAGAAAGATGCATAAGGTGTTCTCTCTCTTTAGAATACAATTAAGTGGAGAAAACAGATTATTACTTTAATAAAAATTCTAGTTATATATAATTTTACTATGTACAGAGAAGCATGTTTCTCTTTTAAATAGGGATAATCACAAACAAATTGGCATTTAACCTGATCTCCAAATGAATGGCTAACTGGGAAGTCTGGGAACAGCTTTTCCTTAGTAAAACTGGCACACATTTTGTTGTAAGCTACTATATGGCCAAAAGTAGCCCTCTCCATGAGATCTTATATTATTATCTAAAGGGTACCAAAGAATGATTGATTATTTCCTTGGACTACCTTTCACAGGCTGATACCATAGTAGCTGTCAAAGCTGCCTTACAGCCTCCCTGTTCTCTTCTCTCACTGTCCAATGGCTGTTTCTACTCTTCCCCAGGAGACTTTAACTTCCAACTCTGACTCCTTCTCTGCTAACGACTATCTCTACTTCAAAGAAAATAAAAGGCAGATGGAAATTCCTACACTTCCTGCCATAAAATCTACAGACACACAGCTTTCCATCCTCTTACAATGGAAAAACAAAATATGTCTTTCCATCTGTTATAGTTAAATTATTTCCCCCTCCCAAATTCATATCTTAAAGTTCTCATCCCTGGTACTCCAGGACATGATCTTATTTGGAAATAAGGTCATTGCTGATGTAATGAGTTAAGTTAGGATGGGGTAATACTGCAGTAGAGTGGGCCCCTAATCCAATTGACTGGTGTCTTTTTAAAAAGAGGAAATTTGGGCACACTCATAGAAGGAAGACAAGGTGAAGAGACATAGGAAGAAGACGACCATCTACAAGCCAAGGAGAGAGACCTGGAATAGATTCTTTCCTCATAGCCATCCGAAGGAACCAACCCTGCAGACATCTTTATTTCAGACTTTTAGCTTCCAGAACTGTGAAACAATAATATGCTGTTGTTTAAGCCATCCAATTTTTAGTAGTTTGTTATGGCAGTCCTGGCAAACCATCTAATGCTGAGCCCTTTATCTGTGCCTTGGATTCTATTAGTTCCTCCTCAGGAACCTTGTAGAAGATTCCCATCTATATTTTAGCCACTTCACCCTTCTTCCCTTTTTCCTCATTAACATAAAATATGGTCAATTCTGTCCATTTTAAAAACTAACAAACAGGTGAGTCAAACCACCCAAAGTATACTCACACATAAATCGAATTTTGTCATTAATGCCCCTTGCAAATTGTGTGTTATTTTTCTCTTCCCTGATGCAAATAAACCTATGGGAAGAATTGTCTGCACTACACTGGTTCTACTTCTTCAATTTCTACTCACTTTATGATCAACTACATTCAGGTTTCTGCACTAAATGTCCTCTGAAAAATGCTCTAATTATCTTCTCTCACAACTCCTCTCTTAAAAAAAAATACATATATATATTTCAAAACAAATGGGAATTTCCTTTGTCACGATATAGCTATTCCATTTTTAGTGAATTCTGTCTTGTCTTTGCTTTTATATTACATGTTCTCCCAAGTGACTGTCTTCCCTTAGTCTTGCCATCACTTCTGAGACTTTTTTGTGGACTCCTTTTCCTTTTGCTTATGACTTAAGTTTAAGTGTTTCTAACTTCTAGGCTCATCTCTTTTATTACTCTAATGTATCCTTTCTGAGTGATACTATGATCTTTGGTGACATCTATAACGATGCATAAATCTAAACATTTATTCCAGATTTGTCTCCTAAACCTAAGCCCTCTATCTCAAAATATCTTTTTATTGGTTCACTTGACTCTTCTAAGGACAAATCAAACCACAAAAGTATGCCACTAAATACTTTTTCCTTTCCTTCACGTCAATTTGCTTCTTCTCTTATGTCCATGTTCAAAATAGAGTGTACCTACTTGGATTCTCTGTTCTCCTCACCCCATACCTGAAATTAATTGCTAAACTCTGTGGATTGTACCTGCTAAATATCTCACCTATCCATCTTCTCCTTCCAGGTATACTAATATCATCTAGTTCCAACATCATCAATTCTCATCTATGTTATAGCCTTGATGCTTGTCTTGGGTCCTTAATACTGATCTTGCCACCCTTTAATCCAATCCATTCTCTACACAATTGCTCAACAGATCTTTCAAAATGAAAATCTAATCATTAACTGCTTAAAGCTTGTAGTGATTCTGCATTACTCTTAAGAAACAGACCAACTGCTGAACAAAGCTTGTAAGACTGGTCTTGAGTGGGATCTTGCCTGTTTCCCTATGTTCTTCTCTCACCCTTTCTCATCTGGTGCTTCAAGCTTACCTTTGCTGAATTATGTTTACTTTCTCAAAAGTGTCATGGTCTCTCACCTCTTTGTCTTCCTACATTCTCCTTTCTCTTTCTTTTCTGCCCCTATGCACCCATTTGCCCAGGGTTTGTCATGTTCTCTTTTCTCTACTCTTGTTAATCTTAGTAAAATACAAGTGCAGACTGTGACTTATTCACTTATGCCTCTCTTCAATAAAACAGTGTTTATTTCAATAAATACTAGTTAACAGAAACAAACTGATGTCTGTCTTCAAATGTAGAATACATCCATTTCAAATGCAGATATTCTTATCTGCATAGTAGTTTATGCATCATTGTAAATTAGTCACCAATTTTCTTCTATGTATCATTGTAAATTAGTCAGTTGCCAATTTTCATCTGTGAATTGATCTCTTGTGAACTTGTTTAATAGAAGTCTACTTTTAAGAAATGGACTCATATTCAAGGAGATGACCAAGTCAAGATTTTTTATTTTGAAAGCATAAAATCAAACCTCAGACTGCAGAATCTGTTTAAGGAAATTTGACCCTCTTTGGCCTTTTGACAACTAGTCAATTACTCTTCTTTGGTGACATTTTGCCCTTATCATCCAATGGTTATTAAACTTCAATAGTAGGCAAGAAATCTTTCCAATTAGTGTCTGAAATGTCACTACTAGCTAATTATTCCCTTGTGTTTGCACTGTCATATCCTTCAAGTCCTCATTTATAATTCTGGGTGTATTGACTAAATACTAACTTCGTATTGTAACAAGGTTATTTTCTCTCCTGGGAATAAACAAACAAGATCCAGAGTCAAGAGAGGGATAAATCAATAAAAGAGATAAAGAAGATACAAAAATTAATATTACCGGATCTCAAAATGATCAACTTTTAAATTTTCTCAGACTTGACTTTGCTTATATGTATGCATCCAACAGCTTTTTAGCATATTGCTAAATAGATAGTCTGAAGACTATCAATAGATAGTCTGAAGATCTATAGAAATATCAGTGCTATGGTTGCTCTCATTAATAACCTATGCCAGTGTTCTCCACGGTATAGACCTCCAAACACTGTTGCCACATTTGGTAGTGTAGGTTGGACACTGCACAACTCTAAGGGGCCATTTTCACATAGTCTATGATGTATGCAGGAGGGTTCCCCATATGTAGGGTTACCAACTAGAGTAATAAAAACAGAGGGTGCCCATACAATATTTTGGACATACTTTTACTGAAAACTTTATGGTTTATGGAAAATTCAGATTTAACTGGGTAACCCGTATTATATCTATCAACCCTAGAATATGAGGTATTTGGAAAGTATGTGGCCATACTTTTGGTTGTGTCAAGGACTGGAGGATACAGCTAGAAATTAATGGGCAAGGTCACTTATCCTAAGTGTCCTGAAATACCTAGAGGAATCTCATATTATGAAGAATGTTTCTTTTCTGCTTAATTCTTCAAGTGGTTGTAGTTTCCCAGGTTAAAAAAAAAAACCTCTGAACTGAACTACTGTATTCTATAAATGAGAAAGTTGGATACCAGAGAGAATCAGTACAAACAAAACTGGGACTGTGTAGTTACTAAGTCCAGGCTCACTTATGTGACCACTGAAAATGGACTATAGAAGTGAAGAGTGTTGATGGGGGACAGGCAGGAGAGAGCAAGAGAGAACTTTGTAGGGAACCTAGAGCACATTCCTCTTCTAGCTTAAGGCTAGATTGACCTATTTATCAATGTAAAGAAGAAAAGCATTACAATCATGTTTGTTTTAAGAAAGATGAAAATGGAGCATTGTGGAAAAAAGAAAAGACAGCAATAAGCCTTGGAGAATGCCATGGGCAAAATTCCTTATGTGCTAAACACATTGTATTCTCTGAGCGTTCCATTCCTCTTCCCCTTCAAGTCCCTGAAATGGTACCTGTGGTCCCTCTCATTTTCTTAATAATCCTGTCCCAGAAGAAGGTGGGGTAGGCATCCTGTTTGCATTTCTTTGCTCTTCTAACCTCTATTTTTTTCTTCCTTCATAAAAATGCCCAGATTTGGCCGGGCGTGGCAGCTCACGCCTGTAATCCCAGCGCTTTGGGAGGCCGAGGCGGGTGGATCACGAGGTCAGGAGATCGAGACCATCCTGACTAACACGGTGAAATCCCGTCTCTACCAAAAATACAAAAAATTAGCCAGGCGTGGTGGCGAGCGCCTGTAGTC